CAAAACCCATAATATCTTCATATTTATAAGAGTTTATGAAATAAAGAGCCAAAATGCGAATTGCCTGAACGATTCCAACTTAAGTCTGACTACAAATGTAAGATCTATTCATACAATAGTGAAAAATTCAACTACCTATCTATCCACTTATTACCTTAAACAAAAATGGTGAATAAGTAAGGTTGTAGATTGCTATAACAAATGCAACTTCATCATTCCTCATTCCTTTTCTTAACTATCGTTCTGGCCTTCCTTGAAATTCACATCTCCCTGTGACCCAAGGGTATTCGTAGCAATGTGGCCTAGCGGCTAGTGTCTAAATTGTAGGTTGTACTGTTTCGAGTTCCGCTGGGGGTGTTGATAAAGCGAGGTGGAAAATGCGGTCCATCCTGGATGAGAATACCTTTTGGGAAAGAAAAACTATATGAAATTCAATGGAAACGTCAGCTCTACTCATAGCGTTGTAAGAAAGAGTGCAACTACCAGTCCCGCTATCACTTTAAACGAAATAGGATGAATAAACGTCAAATATAACTGATCCACTGGTAGTCTCGAAAACCTACTGATAAACGAAACGTTTAACTTTAATTTATGGGCTCACCCACATCTCAAGTCAAAACCTGAATACGCGATTCTTAGATCGATCCCATCAAAAAGTAACAGCAGATTCTTCCTAGCCAGTTATCACTTCACCTTACTAGAACATCTTGATGGACACTGCTCTCGAGGCATTCTCTTTCGATTCCATTGATAGGCATCATCAGAACAGGATAGCATTTAAAATAAATTCTCGCTGGCGATTAAAGAAAATTCACTTGCTTATCCCTATGCATTTTATAAGATATAGAGAAATTTGGTTAGAAGCATTTGCGTTTTCCTGATTATATGCTTTGGTGCACTCAGGTAACCAAAAGGAGCAGTAATAATAGCAATAATTAGGACAGTGTAACAGCCGTGGTCGACCATCGGGGAATATGACACCTCATTCCTTTTCTTAACTATCGTTCTGATTGTGTAATTCTGTACGTCTGTTTACGTTGATTATGTCCCAAAAATAGAGAAATAAGATTTATTTTTATTGTATTAATGCATTTTAGCATTAAAAACGTCTCACTACAGATACCAAGAGTAACTGGTTTTCGATGAATCTCTTAGGATAATATTTTTTCGAAGAATTTGATATCGAATAAGAGGTGAGGTTCATTGGTAGACCTCAACGGAAGACAATTGCCAATTCCCGTTGTTCTGCAGCCGTTTAGTTTTAATAGGGCGTTCATGTTAACGCAGTCCACGATACATTCCCCTAGTTTCGGATGAAATCAGGCTGAGCTTTTAACCATCATGTGATGGACATCGTCAATGCTGTAACTCATTCTTGAAAAAGTCTCATGTTAACACTAGGTCAAGAAGACTGTTCAGATCTATCTTATATGTCCATGAGCGACTCTGGTTGAGATTAGATCTAAGCAAATACGTATATAGGTCAGGCTACGAAATCATCCGTCATGACCGATCAATTTAGGGTCATCAGAGTTAACGAACCCAGAAAAGAAATGAGTAGGATTGGGCTATATTGCACATCGGGTTTTGTTGATGAGCATAATATACCTATTGAATGAATGTGAGTCTGGTTATAGTCATCACTGTTTTGACAAGTCAAGTAGCCTTCTTTTGGAGGATGCTTTAATACACTCTCTCTACTTCAATCTTTCAATTAAGCATAAGCAGTTCTTATTCAGTTTTATACCACCGTTCTTCACATTCAACGTATACCCTTGATGACCTGAAGCAGATCTTTGGTTTTTATAACTACTGATCTAGGACCGATATTAGGTGCAGACGTTAGCCCACATACACGTATTCAACCAAGTAAAATAATCATGATTAAGAGGAAAGAAAACTGACCAAGTCATTATATATCTAAATATTATAGTTTTTTGATTGTGTATATGTAACATGTATGATGGAACCGAACAGCCTTAGTGGCCATGAGTTAACTTGAAAATTTCTCAAGAATGAGTCCCTACTCTGATGATGTCTCTCATATAATGGACGAAAGCTAAGCTCGTTTACACCCAAAACGAGGGGATATGTCTCAGGGACTGCGTCAGCATGAACGTCATATTAAAGCTAAAGAAAAATGAGGATAGGCAGTCGCCGTTCGGTGAGATCAACCAACGAATCTCTCAATTATGCACTTTCATGCGAAATGAGAATCTGCACAACATTTATAATTAATTTAACTGTTGTTAAAAGAAGAATACAATAAGCAAAAACCAACTCAATGATTCAAAGAGTGGAAAAGGATGAGTATTCGTAAAGTTGAAAAAGTCAATATTTTAATTTTACTTTAATTCTAATTAGTCCCTTGTATACGAATTGGTATAATTGTTAGGCATTAAACACATAATGCTGCTTATATAAAGGGCTTTGGAACTGAATATTAAATACATCGACAAGCTACCATATAATCTTGAACTAAGTGATAGAACTGAGCCTTTCATCCGAGTTGAAAAAAGG